TATATTCACTGTACACTGTCGAGTTACAAGCCATATACATGCTAACAGTAATTACACACAACGCGGGCACGGTGATGATTACCCTTAATTTTCCTCACTTTTTCGTAATTCATAACTTTGAACAAAACCTCTTTTCAGAAAGCACAACATATAAATAACCCGTCATATTCTGCATATTCAGTAATGATTTTCTCACACAGCAAATATCACTGATTTTATACACATGCAGACCAATACACATAATCATCCAGATGCGATCTTGCTATTCAACCAACTTTCTTCTCAGAGATAAAAACTACAGACACGGACCACTCAGCCTCACAAAACTATGCAACCAATAATGCGTAGTTTAGTTGAGTGATTCCTCCATAGATGGACGTCCACAATGATCCTAGTGAGCAAACGTGGAATCGCTGTTTGCGCCCTAAAAACTACCTAGTCTGCAAGTTGACATCTTATAGGTTTTTTTTTGACATTTTCTAGGTTTTTTCCATGATACCCGTGCCGCAGGAATCTGTTTAAGCTCCAATCGGCACGCTCGCAATTTTGCAAACGGCAGCACGTTGTTGAGTTGGAAATCGGAAAGAAAGAGCCTCATCTCTAAACACACTCTAAATAATTTCAAATAAGTCCGAGCTATAAAATTGCTCCCACTTATAGAGCACCAATTCTCCTTTAATGAACGCTTTACATGTAAGAGGTTTAAACCAAGGGTTAACCGACCCTTATTAATTGATCTTTTGCTTTGTTGGTGCGTTATCATTGCTGAGGAGATACCGGCATAGTTATTACGTAGAAAACATATATGTTCAAATGTAATATGTAATAAGTAGATCTTAGTGTGCAAAAAGTTCATTCGGATTTTGCTCGAGGTGGTCGCTGTGAGCGTCACCCTCAGCACCACCTATGAAGGAATGGCTCAACGTCCATGCTACACGTAAGTGCATCAGCATGCTTTGTAGGTTGCAGATTGCCGAGATAGACTATCGAGATCTAACAGAAAGAAAGTTGGTTGAGTAGCAGAGTAGCAGGATCGGATCTGGATGATTGTGTAGTTATTGTGTGTATGGGTCTGCATGCATATTAAAACAGTGATATTTACTATGTGTGAAAATTATTACTAAATATGCTGCCCATATTAGCTATACTATATATACTATTAGATGGACTATGTTCATAATCCTAAATTACGATTCTCCTTGGTGCCTTTTTGCGCTTTCAAAAACTTTGATTTCGGGATCCGCGTGATATGTAACATATCACAGAAAAATTAGGAATGACACATCACACACAAAACATTTCCACAGTGCCTCACATATAGGTGCTGATTTGTATTTTCTATTTGTCATCCCAAGTAAATTTCAATAAAATTTAAACGACTGGAAATAAAAAATTATGTAAAATTTAGTAACCTTTTCACGTTTCATTGTAGCCTATTTTCTCAACTGTTCATTATAATATACTTTCACCAACCCATCATCAACGTAGATTATTAACACACAAATCCTCACTAAGCTATTATGCCCTGTCGTTTTATCCGATGTCCTACCAGCTATAGTCTACAACTTACAGCTTAGACCTCTAGTAGTGCCATCTCTGAAGCAGATGTCACATCACACAAAAGCCAAACCACGATAGCTCATGTGTCAGGTCGTTCAGGCAACACGTACACACATCGGGTGCACATCAAGTGAACGACAGCTGGTTCCAAGTTAACGTCTTACATGAAAACCTATATAATATCACAAAAAACCTAAATAATATATAAAAAACCGACATAATGTCACATTTCAAGATACGTAATACCCCTGTGAGTCAACGTAATATTCTCCATTTTTGTTATAACTCAAAGTGAAGTGCAATATATTGTGAATGTCAAATTAAAATCCAAAAGCTACACCATACACTTCTGTATGTCATCATTCGAGAAGCAATTAAGGTGATACTACTTATATGGTAAGGACCGGCAAGGCGGCAGCCACAAACGTTATTTGAATAAACTCATAAATATGCCCAGTGAAAATCCCGAAGATGAGTAATGTATTACAAACTGGCTGAAAAATGCAGATCTCATATGGATAGGGTCGATTTTTATTTTGGAATCTTTATGTATGTACGCTTATGGAAAATTTGAAACAGGACCTGTTCTTTTCATTATAAATAGACCGCCATGTTTCTCGTTGACAGCGCTAGCTCCTAGCAGCTAGGTTGAAGGCAACCAAAATGCCTCAAGGACATGCTACCACAGTAGCTGCATTTGACATGTATCATAGTATAATCGAGGCAGTATCCGCTCAGAAAAAGAATATTGAGTCTGTTTTTTGCATAATCGTATTCAAAAAGAACCTCTTTTAACAAATCTGCAAGTAGTCAGGCCCAAAATTTTGGCAAAAATTGTTTGAACGTTTTTTTGAATAAATTTCAAAAATTGGTTGTTTCATTTCGCGCAATGTTTTTGGGTTATTTCAAACAAAAACGGTTTTAATGATAAAATTGATAGTGTTCCAGATATAAGCGATTTAATATTTGAAAAATTAGCCATCCATCAACAAAATCGCGAAACATTTTAGGTGACGTGGTTATTGTAAACCTTTATTTTTTAATTGCTAATGTAGAGCGCGTTAAATTTTAACTATCAATCTGCGTGAGAGCTTGATAAATGCAGAGCGGAAGCCAGCTAGGGCAACAGAGTAAGCAGAGGCGTATGTACCCTAGGTCCAAAAGGGTGATGGATGGATGGAATATTGATTCTGTTTTTTGCATAATCGTATTCAAAAATGACCTCTTGTAACGAATATGCATGTTGCAAGGCCCAAACTTTGTCCAAAAAATGTTTGAACGTTTTTTTAACAAATTTCAAAAATTGGTTGTTTCACTTCCGGCATTTTTTTTTGTTTGGGTTACTTCAAACAAAAACGGTTTTAATGAACTTTTCTCTAAAATTGTGTGCCGGATATAAGCGATTCAATATTTGAAACAGTGCGAAATATTCCATTTAGGACCCCGCAAAAGGATATGAGAAAACGAAAGTTTTGAGGTTTGAAACTTACAAAATATTCTTTAGCCATCCAATAACAAAATCGCGAAGCATTTTAGGTGATTTGGTTATTGTAAACCTTTATTTTTTATTTGCCCTAAATACAAAAGAGCGATGGATGGATGGAATATTGATTCTGTTTTTTTGCTTAATCGTATTCAAAGATGACCTCTTGTAACGAGTATGCATGTTGCAAGGCCCACTTGCCAAAAATTGTTTGAACGTTTTTTTGACAAATTTCAAAAATTGGTTGTTTAATAATAATAATATTTAAACAGTAAACACAAAGTATATACAAAGTTTACAAGCAAAAAAAAGCATTAAGAGGATAAAGGGCTACATCAGCTTGCCCTTTAAAGAAGCAGCTGCTAGAACCCAAAAAAAAAACAAACAAATTTAAACAATTCTAAAATGGCTATTAAGACATTGATAATTAATAATGTTTTAATCTCAAGAAATATAGCGAAGTATAGTAAGTAGAGAAATGGAAATTTAGAGTGAGAAGAGAAAGCGAGGGGAAAGAGAAGAAGAGAAAAGGGGGAGCAGGAGATGTGTTTTCTATGATATCTGACACAGTAAATCACTTTTAAGGTTCCTCTTAAATGAAGCTATCGAGAGAGAAAATTCTTTAATTTTGAATTTATTTACCAAAAAGGCAATTTGATATGAGAATGGTTTCTTAAATGATCCTTTATCTCTTTTCAGATAAAAAAGAATTTATTAATGCATAGGCCGCCTCCTCTAATCCAATATACTTCAAAGTAACCACTAGTATCTCATGATTAATCATGTCTAATGCTTTTGTGTAGTCCAATATCACCAAGACAGTAGCATTTCCCGCATCCTGTTCTCTGAGACATCATCCACAAGATCTGTTTATGCTGTCGAACAACTGTACCCGGTTCTAAACCCTGACTGTCTGTTGGGGATGATATTGTTGCCGAAAACGTAGTTAACAACTTGTATAGCGATTGCCTTTTCCAAAAGTTCAGAAAGGGTCGGTAAGAGCGAGATTGAACGTAGTTGACCAAATCCTGTCGGATTGTTAACCTTAGCTAATGGAAGAACATTGACCAGCTTCCAGCTTTTAGGAAAGTAAGACCTTTTAATACAACTATTTATAATATGGGTAATATAAGAAGCTATAAAAGGGCAACACAAGGAAATCAGGGTAACGTTCAGGCTATCAGCGCCAAAAGCCTTCGTCTTGATACTGAGGATACTATTTAAAACAAAATCTTCATCGATTAGGTTAAATGAGAAGGTTTCATTAAGCAATGAGTTGTTATAGAAATGCAACAATTCTTGTTTTGGAGTATTATTTTGTGATATTTGGGCAAAGTAGGTAATAAGTTCACGTTCGAGTTCTTCTGGTAATTTTTTTTGTGGGTTATTTCAAACAAAAACGGTTTTAATGATTTATCTCTAGAATTGATACTGTTCCAGATATACATGATTTAATAGTTGAAAAAGTGTGAAGTGTACCATTTCCGACCCCGAAAAAGGATACGAAAAATCGAAAGTTTTGATGTTGAGGTGATGTGGTTATTGTAAACCTCTATTTTTTAATTGGTAATCAAGAGTGCGCTATTTACTATTATTCTGCCTGAGAGCGAGAGAAATGCAGAGCGGAAGCCAGCTAGGGCAACAGAGTAAGCAGAGGCGTATTTACCATAGGTCCAAAGGGGCGATGGACCCAAGCGGTTTTTTTTTTATGCTGCCGCAAACCTTAAGAGGCCCAATAAAATCCTAAAAAACGCTACTGGGGCAAGGATACCCGTGTAAACGTAATAGGAAACTGCACAGTGCTCACGGATCCGCAAAATGCTTGTACTTTTTACACATGAAGCATTTTAGGCATTCAATCGTCATATCTTTTATCCTAAAACATTTGGTGTCGCGCTGAATATGGCCTACCAATTATCTTTTGTTTTTGTTCTTGTGCGATTATGGCGAACCGTACCTTCCGCCCAATGAGGTTGCGTGTCAAGAGGTTTTTCGCAGCGAATTCTTTTCTTTCAGGACCTCGCAGAATTTCTCCATATCGGTGGACAATAAATAATAAGCTACACGGAGATGCCAACCATTTTTCGCACGACAACATCTGCAAAAAATTACCGATTCTTCGTATCCCTTTCGCGAGAATCCTTAAAAAACATCCACGTGAAATTGAGAAAGAAAGTTAAATTATTGTTACCATATATACGATGCGTCACCTGAGTAATTTGAAATTACCAGAAATGATAAACCCGCCACAGTTTTGCGGATGACCGCACTTTGCATGCAGGCAATCAGGGTACTAAAACGGTATCTGTAATCGTGCTGAAGGTAAAAAAAATATATACAGTATATTCAGATAAGAGATAGACCGGACATAAACAAGACCACGTGATCATCGAACGCTGTAACATTCGGCAGGGACGTATTAAGAGTCACGCAGTACATATTTTAGATAGTAGGTGCTGCTTTGCGTAACTTTGTAGTAAATTAGCACAATTCGATGTGTATACGATTGGTGATGGATATAGGATCATGTGGGGGTGGGGTAAGAAATATATAATGATGTAAATATACATAAGGGTTTCAAAATTTTCGCTTCGATTTCCAGCTTCGGATGCCGATGCCCCCTGATGTTTGGTGAAATACAGTCGAATATAATCTCAAAATGGCGTTTAAATTATCCTAAATTAAAAATAATCGTATATCTCTTAAAATTGCTTTTAGAATATTGATTAGTATATTTTTTGATTTCTAGGTAAATATGTAACCAAATTAAAACGTTCAAAACGTAAAAAAATGTGCATGGTTGAACATTGTCAGAAAGTAGATTCTTGAATAGGTTTTGCCAAAATGGGTTCAAAAATGTCAATAATTAATTAAAAAATACAGGTAGCTTTATAATTACTTATAACTTACTGAATTTGATGAACGACATCTTTTATTGGAAAGATGAGCTTGATAAGCTTTCATCATCGCTACTGCCTGAAGTACCAACGTCAATAATGAATGGCTCGACTTGTTCCTCTAAAATATTGTCCAGTTCCCACATTCTCTTTTCAACTTTGTCTTTCACGTGCTTAATACAGTTTTCCCATTTTTGCGCTGTTATTAATTCTAGTGCTTCTTTGAAAAGCCCTTTGAGGTCACAAAATTTAAAAGTTGTATTGTGCTTAGCTATATAATTTTTAACCTCTGCCCATATGAGCTCAATGGGATTGAGCTCGCAATGGTATGGAGGTAAACGGAGCACAGTTTTATTTTGACTTGCTGCCATTTCGTCAATGGCGTATTTTTGATATTCCGCCTTGTGATCCTTGACAATTCTTAATAATTGTACTTTCAGCATTGCTTCTTCAAAGTTGATATTTTTCGAGCGGAGCCAATTTTGAACATCAACTTTCCTTGAAGCCGTTGTTGGGACCTTCTCCATTCTTCGAGAATGATAAGGCGCATTATCCAACACAATTACTGCGTTTTCCTCTAAGTTCGGTAAAATTTTTGAAAACCACTATTCAAACGATTCGCCATTCATTTCCTCGTGGTAATCTCCAGTTTTCTTAGACTCAAAGCACCACAGATCGTCAACAACAAATCCATCCTCACTGCCAATATGGCAGATAATGAGCCTTTTCCCTTTACCTGGGAATCGAAGTACTAACTGGTGTAGATTTATTTCAATAGGCGAACCTTTTTCAAATGTTTTCATCACATTCAGCGAAAAAACATTGAGACATGAGTATCAGATTGCTATAATTGGGATTATTTAGTCATATTGAAAGAAAGAATATTGAACGTCGTATGATTACTCAGCGCTTCACAATTTAATTTAAAGTTATAAACCTTTAAAAAATGAATGATCAGGAACCTGAAATACGCGCAAATATTAATATTAACAAATTATAACTTTATAAAGCTTAAAGTATGAATTAAAATGATTAGAAATATTAGGAACGGTACACAATATAAAACTTAGTAACTTTTTTTAAGTTTATAATATTCGACATATTTTAAGATTATATTAAAAAATTATTGAAATATCGAAAACACATAAAAACATGGCTTAAAAAAGTTCTAACAAATGAAAATGACAATAAAACATCCACGCATTTTATAGAAAGTTATAAAAGTTTTGTTACTTGTAATATGTTTTATCTGCCCCCTGGAATTAATGTTTAGAACCTTGTTCCCAAGGTTTGAAAAACATCCGATTGTTGTCTATTACTCGTATTTACCTGCTGGATTTTTTAATCCGGTGGACAGTCCATCTAGAAAGGCCCTCCTGGATGAAGTTACAGAATCATCAACCCATACTTTACTTGTAGTGTGTCCTGCGTTTACCCACGTTTCATCAAGGTAATAAATATTCCTGTTTTGATTTCTATATTTCCCAATTTTTGTTAAATAATCCCACCTCCATAGCACAATTTCTTCTCTATCCAGTTGTAAACTATTACGTTCCCGTTTTTTCCATTTGAAATTTAAATGCTTCAGTAACGCATGGAAAGTTGATCGTTTGAAATTTGGCAACGTTGTATCTCCATTTACCTCCTGCAGTACTTCATCTATAGTAGGTATTTTGATTCCTAAAGAAGAATTCATGCACTTTCCTCCTAATCACATGCTTATCAGCTTCATCCAATGATTTAACAATACTTTTGCGATGTTTACTGGTCATTGGCTCAGAAAAGGTGTGATTTTTTTTGTATTGTCTTAACACATTAAACACTGATGCGCGACACACCCCAACTTTGTGAGAAACCTTCACAACAATTTCTTTGATGGTTGATGCCTCGTTCTCCTCGCGCTCGATCTTATATATATTCAAAATGACCTTCTTTCATTTCTGCACTCAGGTGTCTTTTTTTAGAGCGTTTCCTAGGTGGACTACAGGAGTTTACAACTTCATCGGCAGTATCTGTACTACTGAGCATTTTGCGCAAGCTGTTGATAACAATAACAATCAATAACAAGGTATAACAATAACAACGACAAACTCAACAACTTAATAAGATAACAAACGAAAACGTCCAAAGAAATATCAAATTGCAATGATGCACACGACATACGTAACACGTCTGAACCTGAATGTGACTCTGCCTTGATACGACTGCTCTGCCGCTCGGCATAGGCATTTAATTGCGAATTGACCAATGAGGGCTCCTGTTTTACGTCGAGACGGCGGCGTTAGCGTGAAAATCACCCGAACCTTTTGTTTACATCCGGTCTATCTCTTATCTGAATATACTGTAGGCGCCTCGATAGTTTCTTAAACTTTGTAAAGAACTTATTTATACGTGCTGATCATCTTGCTTCCTTACTCGGTCCAATACCCATATAAAACCCGCCCCGAAATACTCTACATATACCTGAAATGCTCTTACTCCAAGCACACTATACAGGGTGACTTCGAAGTTGAGTCATTTGTTTTAACAGTGAGTAGATCTGATCAAAAGAACTGTTTTTCCTTTAACATTTTTCTGGTAAAATTAAAGTAACAAAGTTATAGCCCTTTAGAAGTTTGAGTACCGCCCTGTCTCAATAATAATATTATGTGCTCGTGTTTGGCAACAACGGATATAATCCGCCTTACCGGTTCATCGCATCGGAAACAAAAAAGCGAAAGAATTTGAAACGCTTATCACGATGTTTTTACTACAATTTTATTCAGTTGTATTCAGTCAATGTGTCAGTCGGTAACGCGTGAGTGAATAGTGGTGTTTGTTGGGTGGCTCGAACGAAATAAAAAATGGCACATGTTTACGAAAATGCTGAACTTGTGGACATGATTCTTATTTACGGGGGGGGGGGAGTCTCTACAAAATGCTGCCACGGCATCACGAATTTATGCGGATCGGTTTCCCATTCGAGTGCAACCAACCCCTCGTGCCTTTGTTAATGTAGTACATAAATACAAAGGGCTCGTGAATCAGGTGACTTAAGACCTCACAGGGGAGGGCATGCCGGTGCTCCAAGACCGCACGATCAAATACAGATCCGCACTGAAATACTTGTCGGGAGGATACTTTATAAAACACGGTAAAATTTTTTTTTAATTTTTTTTTTATTTTTACACACATATTTTGGTTTATCTTCCTTCTACAATCATTATCTGAAAATTAATGACTCAACTTCAAAGTCACCCTGTATATTATTGAGCATTTCTTCATGATGTGTCGTCAAGCTCTGGGCATTTCAAGCAGATCCGCTAGGCTTCTCGTTTACTGCTGGCTTTAACTATCGAATTCTGTACACTGAAGACTGTCCAGTTGGAATCGGATCAACAGGATAATTTTCACTTAAAGGTACTCCAATTTTATTCCTATGATCCTCGAACCAGCTTACGATTTGCTGGCACAAACAGATTTTCCACAGGTGCTCTTTGAACCGACATATGCAGCTTAAATTGTGGTTAGCACATTGTAAGTGCTATATTAATTATATTAATAATAATTTATTATTTTTATGATATGGGTGTCAAGCAAGTACAGGTCAGTATAAACAGCCCAGCTGCAGTATCTGAACAGAATGAAGTAAGTGTGTTAAGACGAATCTAAGGATATCCCAAATATCAAAATCTATCAAGCTGTTTGGGCTCCAGTCTGTGAAATAGAAATTTGAAGGTTGAAGTTTACGTTTGTCCACCATCCCGACTTTATAATACATAAGTATAGTGCGTGTCACTAGTACAGTCAAGACAAATCTATTCAAAATCCATCACGTCGTTTAAGCTTTAGTCCAAAATGTGACCATGTAAACCAATTGAGTTAATAAATACTCATCTATAATAACCATATCAAATTTCCGAGTTTCAACTTCTTAACAAAATGTATGTATTTAAATAAGCGATGGCTTATATCGATCAAAGTCCGCTAATGGAAATAAAGTAATGCCCTCTCCAGACTCACGCGCGATTCGCGCGCGAAGCCGCGAACTACCCGCGATCCATGAGTGTGGATCCCATTCGCGTATTCTTCGCGACTTCACGTCGCGTTCGCGCGTTGTTCCCGTTTGTTGTCGGTTTTTTGTCCCACGACAAAGGGTTCGCAAGGCGCGAACATGACTAGGCTCCACATTCGCTGGTTGTTCAGTTGCCTCATAGCGAGT